ACGACTACTACTACGACTACTACTACGACTACTACTACTACTACTACTACTACTACTACCACGACTACTACTACGACTACTACTACTACTACTACTACTACTACTACTACTACTATTACTACTACTACTGCTATTATTAGTACTACTCATACTGCGGCGACTTCAACTACAACGATGATGACGACGACGACTGCTGCTGCTGCTGCTGCTGCTACGAATACCACTGCCACCGCTACTGCGTCTGCGTTGCTGTGCTGCAGTTTGCGGCGTGTTGTTTGTGTATCTGTGTGTGTGTGTGTGCGGGTGTGCGGGTGTGTGTGTGTGTGAGAGAGTGTGGGGGGGGGGGAATTCGGCTGAATCACTGCTTGATAAAACTTGGACAGGCTCTGATTTACTTGCAGTTAAGAACTTTCCTTGTTATCGTCGCTACGATGACAACTATTTAGCACCACTACGTACCCATGTCTTGGCGGAGCGAACTCAGCATGCATTGCATAAACGAAAATTGCGCAAAACCTCCCTGGTACAAAGCTGGGCTCTTTGCAGGCTTTTGGGGGGGTGTTCCTTTTGTAAGCGGCCAATTCGTAGATGCCAAGCCCAAATGCCCAAGCGCTTCTCGAGATGCAGTAGCTTAAGGCCGCATAGGGGCCTGAGGGCGCTGTCCCTGAATCCTTGCAGAGATCTTTCTAAGGACTGCTTCAGTATCGCGCCGCAAGGGGTCTCCTGCCCGAGGATCGTTCCTTGATAGCAAGGGATGTAGCATATTGAAGGTAGTAGTGGCCAGGCAGGTATATACAGGAAATTGCACTGGGGAAGTAGCCATGACACTGATGATAACGAGAAATGCCGGTCGAAACATGCTTGTCAAAATCATCGGTTCCAGTTTGTTTTGACTTTCAATCTCACCGTTGGCGTGGCCGTCACTATCATCGTCCTCAGAAAGTACAGAGAGACAACGGTACCGACTGGACTTTTCTGCTTGCAATATTTCCCCGCTGTTCAAGTGTCCAAAAAATCACCCAAAAACTGAGAACCATAGGCACATCGTTTCAATCCATAACTGGATCTTCATCAGGCATTGCCTACTTGTGGGTACTGAAACCCATGACCCGGAAAGCCCTATCCCGAAACCAAACACTCGAGCCGTGATCCCCTAAACCCTTGGCCAAAGTACATACTATTTGGCAGGGAGGACTGACTCGTTTGTGAGCGGACGCTGACAGTGTCTTTTTGAGTGTCTTCCTTGAAGCTAGGCATGTTCTGGGACTCTTCATAGAAGGCTTCCAGCAGTACTGGACGCAAGCATGTTGACACCTGTTTCTTCAGCTGCCGTCATCCCCGTAGCTTTCGATGCGAAGCTATGTTGTCGTGCTTCGTTTTTTCGGATTGACCGTACAAGGCAGGCTCGTCCTTGCTAGGTAGGAGGGAAAAACAACTCTGAACCCAACGGTTTTTCTCCCGAAACCCTGAACACCTCATGCCCTAAGCCCGAAATATGGACGAAGTTGAGTGTGATGAGGCTAATTGAGTGAGTGAGGCGGCCCAAGTCGGCATTTTGCTGAGGCCAGTGCACCACAGATGTGCATGCATGCGTATTCCTGATGACTGCTTGCTGAAGCATGAACTGCTGTAGACCTTTCTTGTTGAGCATTATTTATTGACGGCCCTTTAAGTGTGTCTACAGCATTTGTGCGGACTGTTGCAACCCGATAACCTGTTGAGTTGCTGAATTACTGCATCCATTGTACGTCCAAGCAAACCTCGCCGTGGGCATAGTTCTCAGCAATGCGAGGGGGAAAAAAACCCGAAATACTCAGACCCTCATGGCTCAACCACTCTAAGCCCTCAACCTTGAATCTGACGACCCGAGAACCCAAATTCCCGGAACGCTCGGCCCAGGTACGAGTCCGCGACTCGGCTGGCAGGGAGCTGAAGCAGCTCGTCAAGGGCATGGACGACCTGAGGCAGGCACCGGAAGATTTTGGAACCTAGCGGTGTCAGGGGGTGCATGGTTTGTTCGGCTTAGGGTGTTAAGGATTTACTGTTGGGTTAAGTCAAGTTGTGCGAAGCTCAGCTTATCAAGGAACATACAGGTCCAGATTCTGCACTGCAGGTTTTTGTTTTCATTGACTGGTATTGTTTATCTATCATCTGTTGCATTGCATTTTTCGCCAGATGCAGAGGTTTCTTGAAGCACCTGCGCGCCTGCAGGCAGGACGCGGTGATGCAGCAGCTCTTCCGTTTGCTGAACGATGTATTTCAGGAGCTGCGAAGGGAAGTGGAAGCTGCGCGAAAGGGTTTCGGTTAGATGGCGCTCTTGATGTGATGTTTCTGCGTGTCGCATTCATCAGCCAACATGAAAGTGCGGGCCTCCACTATGACACTGAACACAAGCAGGGAACTGAAGAGACGGCCACAGTGCTGGCTGAAACGGCGCCGTGACGACGGCATCCCTGCATTGTGCCGAAGGCCCCCTCAGCTGAGCCGCCGCAGCCCCCCAGATGTAAGCAGTGAAAAAACAACCCTTTCACAGATTCACCAAGGATTTCTACCACGCGGAGTAGACGCAGTGCGAAAGAAGGGGAAACGACATCCTAGCGCATGCTATTCGTGGTCAGCACCAGTGTTCGTAAGCAGTGATGTGGCAGCATGGCAGGACACCCAGCTGTCGCTGCGCACATTCCAGGTCATCCCGCTCTCGCCCTGCGCAGGAGTCACATATGGCTGCATGCCTCAGCCTGTCTGCACTCTCCGAGCACCAATGAAATTAGCTGCATGGCCCTAAAGCCATGAAGCCAGCAACCCTGAATTGTACCCCAAGCCCAGTGTAACCCTAGTGCACCCTCTGCCGCAGGAGTCGCCGAGTGGGTGGAGCACACGACCACCCTCGCAGACATCCTTTTCGGCCCTGTGGAGGGTGCGCACCAAAAGTACAGGCCGGAAGACTGGCTGCACCACCAGTGCAGACAGAAGATGGTGGACGCCCTGCAGGCGGAGTCGTTCTAGGATGCTTGTAGGGGTTGTGGTTTATGGGGACCATATACGGCTGTGTCTGCTGTGATCGCATGCTTCATGTCGAAAGCCACTTGGAGTATGCGCCTTTAGGCTGTCATAGTGTTGGACGTTGGCATCTCGCGATTGGCTTGCTTCGGGTGTCGCTGGCTCTGTGGGATAGATCCCTATGCCGGAAGTCCAGGAAACGTTCCTCATAGCGAAGCAGCACGACCATGTAGCTTGCAGCCATTGCAGCCGACACTCAAGGCCCGAGACAATTTGGCCGTACCCTAAACCCCTTGCAGAGCAACCCGGGACGCATGTGCAAAAGCAAGCTAATCGAACATCAGCGCACGCAGCCGTAAATGATGATATCATACACTTGTTCTGCAAGTCTGCAAGACGTAGTTGCTATACTATTTTTCCTTTGCATGCCTGCAGGTCTGAAGCCTGTTTTGCAAAAAAGCTTTGTGCTGCAGCCTCTTCAATGAAGCAACAGCCGTTTGTAAGAATATATAATCCGAGAAGAGACACGCCCACAAAGAACCCCGGCGAAACCCTCTCAGCAATGCAGGAGGCAAAACAAACCTAAGCAGTGCAAAAGCTCTGCAGTGCACCAGCCCTATATTGCTTCCTGCAAGGCAGCCAAGAACGGTGACCGCCAAGCGCAGCCGCGCGCCTTCGCAGAGATCTACCGCCACTTCAAGCCTGCCACTGGCTTAGATTTTCTAATCATTTGAACTGCAACAGATGGGTGTGTCATCTTGACAGACTTGACGTAGCTTTTGCGATTGCTGCCGGCTCACAGAGATGCTGAAGATAGCACGCTGCAGCTCCGGGTAAGTCCTGCCTAGATCTTACACATTCTGGCGCTAAACTGCCTGGGCCGGGATGTAGCATGATGCATGATGCAGACTTTTTTACATGACAGACATGGCAGTGCCAAAACAACTAACTAACGACGAGACCTCGGCAAGGACCTGCAAATCGGCACAGGTATGCAAACCGATGCACAGCTTGCCTGATGCTACATCTCTTGCAGCGGACTCCAGCATTCTCAACATACATCTCGTGAGTACTGTGGGCTCCAAGTAACGCAAACTGGTGACTCCGGTACACGGAAGCTCCATGACCTCAAGAAGCCTCTCTGAAGCTTCCACCGAGCTTTGATCACAAGCCCACACCTGGCACATTGTGCCTGTGAGATGACTGCATTGCAGCTGGCTTGGGAGGAATGCGAAGCACAGGTCAGGTGAGCATAGGTCACAAGCTCCACTCGAGTAGGAGGTTTGGCAGTGGGCTTTGGGCCAACACGCTCATTTGTGCATCGCTCCTGCCAGAACTTCTACCTAGCAATCAAAGCTTGCTGAACCTTCCAGCAACGCGCATCAATATCAGCAACGTGCGCGGCCGTTTCCTGTAGCGAAAAATGCTTCCCAATGTCTTTAGCAAGCTTACCAGCCACCTGATCCGCCGCACTATTGGCAAAATAGTGCCAGGGTTTCATTGTTTGCTCAGGGTATTGGTGCGCACGGACCCAATCAACTAGAAAGGATCGGTCTTTACTCAAATCCTTGATTGGCAGTCACATGCACGGATGAGACTTCCGCTCCAAACCAGCAACACTGATGTGCCGAAGATTCCGCAATCGCTTGACACAAAGCTGGGAGTCACTGCAAAAATCAACATGACCAACCGTGTACTGAAACAGCATTCGCATGGCAAAGGCCTCAGCAAGTGGGACAGTTCGCGCAACACCTAGCAACTGTCCAGCCTGGTAGCAACAGTCTCATGAGGATGGTCGCGCCGCACGGCCACAATAGCCCACGTGCACATGCGAACTCTCGGACTGGCAGAGAATGGTCCTCCAGACCCATCCGTGCCGAAGAAATAAAGCGCCGCATCCAAGACACCAAAATCAGCCCACAAGCCAGTGGCTTGGAAATGTTGCACCCAACAAGCTTCATGTAACAGAAATTTGTCACGCGGAAGTTGGGTCCCAGCAACAGGGACAACCTCTCAACCAGAAAGTCTGCTGCAATCCATTCTCCAAGTCAGCTTCCCAAGTGCTTGGGGCGGACCCAAACCGCTCAAGGATCAAGGGACATCGCCACAACTTGTGATGGAGACTGGGCTCAGCAACTCCACATCCTGGATAGCACGGCTCTAGCCCGTTGTGGGTGGTGGGCAAAGTCCCTTGTAGCACATGGAGCAAAAGATCATGCTCACGCAAGTTGTTCTGCTTGACCACGCGTCTCAGATGCTTGCAAGCAAACGTGAGATCAGCTCCGCATCCAAGATTAAGGCCTCCTTGATGCCTAGATGCCCTTTCCCACAGTTGGGTCTCACACTGTTGCGCCAAGTGCTCACGCAAGGACAGGAGGGAAGACGGGCTTCCAAGATCAAGATCCCAGGCTTGCCCAGTCGGGTCATGCCAGCTCAACATGTCAGGGCAACTCCAACCAAGATCTTTCTACACGCAAACACAAGCACTCATGGGGCCCTTTGCATACGCCCAGTGTACTCTGGTGTCTTGAAGTTTGGCTTGCTGAATACGCCAAGCTTTGTCAACCAAAGGCATTGCAGCACGCTTAGACGAATGAAGAAGGTGCAACCAAGCAGCAACCTGTTGCACAGGCATAGAAAGGCAGGATCAGCTTCTTTCCTGAGGAAGAGCCTGTATGATGTATGCATGATGCAGAGAACGCGAGAATTTCTCAGAAGCGGGGAACCTGGCAGCAGTCGAGTCCTGTCCAAAAGGCTCTTGATTCCAGACTCCACTCGGCCATGTGGGCCTGAGAGTTGTATTGGCAATCGTTGTTTCTTTGTTTAAAGTCGTGGTGTCACTTTTCTCCTGCGGATGCTCTTAATCCTAGACCCTCCGACCCTCAACCTTCTTCGCCCTTCACTGCACGAAACCAGACAGTTTCGGTCATGCTCCTTGTTCGCAGGAGCCTTCCAAACCCCATGAAACCCTTGAGCTGCCCACCTGTGTTCTCAAGCATCCATGAGCCGAGCCTCGTGACCTTACTTGCGTGGAGTTCCCCCGGTCAGGGTGATCGTGTAATTAAGCATGCTTGAAACCGCGGTCCCGCGCTACACCTCTTCACCCGAAAGACGGACACTAGCCACGGAGTTTCGCAAGTTTCCACTCTGACAGAATCACAATCCGCTCTGAGACTTAGATCCGAAGCCTGAACTCAGTTCCGTTACATAACCCTAAACGGCCCTAAACCCTACTTCCAGAAAAGTAACCCATTATCTACGTAAATGTGGATATTTTTGGGAGATGCCAAGGTCATGCATCTGGTGTTCCTGGAGAGGTTCCCAGCGCCTCAGGACGCCGAGTCTGATTTTCAGGTTGGTTTGGGTGCTTGCGATGAGATGGTTCATTGGCTTCCTGGGCTATGGCATGGGTTGCCGGATCTTTGTTGGGTTCCCAAGTCGCAGAAGTCCCCGCACTAAGCTTCACCCACAACAACAGCCTCTCTGAACTCGACTGCCGCGAGTCAGGGGTGGAAAAGTATCCTCGACAGTTTCTGCAAGTACCATCAGGTACCCAGCCAAATCTTGAGAAGCGACAGTGTCGGGCAGAGAAGCACGGAAGCCCCACTTTGGGTTGTGTTGATCTTACGGACTTGTTAAGCCACCTTGGGACGTGCGAACTTGCCAGCAGTTTAGTAACATTCAGCGGCAACAAGGATTCAATGTGAACTACCCTTATACATGGCTGGAGTTAAATCTTCTGTCTGCAAGACTGCAGAGCAACATTGGACTGCATCTGGCAGTTTTGGTGCTTCACAGCTGAAGCCTCCGAGCTTGTTTGATCAACCTAGGACTGGCATGCGGCACGACGGGCTTATGCGCGATCGACGGCTGTCAGCTCCATTGTGGGTTGACGACTCAGTTCGCTTCTATAGTCTTTGTGTCACAGTTCCTCGTGTCGTGGTTGAAGATTATTTAGAAGCTTGACTTCCGTAGGGGGCCTGCGTCTCCACCAAACTGTGGCAGGCTACATCGTTGGTCTGGGCGACCGGCACGTGAACAACATTCTCTTCGACAAGAGGCACCGGCGATAAAGCCCGCAAGCCAGGCTTGAAACTGGAACAAACCAGCAGCTTCATTTCCGACTATTATACCTTGACCCCTCCAGCCTTACACAACCTTGATGAGAAATCACGCGTAACCTCAAAGAACACCTGAAGTGGAAACCTGAATCCGAAGCTTGGCACTCAAGAAGCTCATAGACTAAGCTGTTAATGCAAAGCACTCCTTCAGCCAAGCGAGAACACCACCGAATTACCCTTCCGTGCCAATCCACTGCCAAGCCCCGAGCGTAAAGCTTGCACATTTATCAACAACTTCCGCGGAAAACCCGAAGATTTCGGCTCACACTTCAGTTTAATTACGCTTGGACCCAAAGCCTCTGAGCCCTTGGGCTTTCCAGGACAGGTGAACTTATCCACATCGACTTTGGCATCACGTTCGAGGCACCGCTGCTTTCAGAAGGCATGTCAGGCCTCGGGGCTTTGCGTGGCTGTTCGGGCTTTGTGTGGTTTTATCATTACCAGCTCCTGTGGTCATGATGGCGACTTGAAAAGGCAATCCTTACGCTCAGGAATCCTTGCAAGCCCGCCGTGCTTTATAAGCTATAATTAATGGGCTTGGACACAATAAGGTACTGTAGTAGTCTCCAGCGAAGACCTTCAGAGTTTCGAAGGGCGTTGAGTCCTTCGCGCCTTTGGCGTTGTTGGCTCATATTATCAATTTTTGGCTTGTTGGCGTAAGGGCCCTTCCGAATATCAAGAGTCCAGTTCGAGAGTTTCTGGTCGACCAACCTAGCGCCGGCCTATCGTTTCTCAGGAACTAGGGAGCTACTCTGACAGGCTTAGCAAGTGAAGGGCTTTGGAACCTTGGGGCCCTAGGGTGTAGGATTTAGCTTCGGGTTGACGGTGAAGGCCTTGGGCTCATAGTTTTAGAAGATCAGGGCTGTGGTGTGGCATTGTTGATGTCGTCATTGTGTCGTTGTGGTTGTTGTGGTTCGAACGCATACTAACCACCTTGTCAGAGTTGCAAGCCTGTCTTCCGGCCTCAGCATTTAGATTGGGACGGTTGGTCCATACACGAAATTTCGTAGTGCTTGGCCGGACATCAACAAAATCCCAATGTTAGCGCGATGCCGCGTGAACATATTGCTGGAATTACCCGCATCGGGCTGCAAACTCGGTTTAGCAGGCATTGTTCGTTTACCTTCAATGGTTCAAACGAAAAGCAGGTTTTAAGTTAGATATTGTTTTGGCGTGATCTAATGTCCTGAAGGTGATCGGTCAGTAGGTGTTTGTTTGCTATTCGGTATACTTTTGTGGTGGCTGCTTCAATCTTGGTATTGTCTTCGTTTTGATGGCGAATTGAAAAACTATGGTTACTGTGATGTTTTGTCGACTTGTCATTTCGGGGGGTGCTCGCTGATTGACAGATTTCCTGACATATTAGGCTATCCCGGATCACAGCTCTCGGGTCTTCGGTGTGGTCAAGACGATGTGTTAAGTGTGCGGGGCATTTACTTCACGCTGGTTTGCAAGCTTTCTACTTTGTGATCCGCAGGTAGGTGATATGTTCCCCGACACCTGGCCCCAAGTGCCTGCAGCATCCTGCAGCCCTTACACTCTGTTTGTCCTTGTATTAGCACCCGAAAAATATCTAACATATCCTAAACATCACCAGGCCTTAAACCCTAGACTTCCAACCCTAGGGTAGATCCTATAAACCCCAAAGCCTAACGGGCCCTAACGCTCAACCAGAACCCTACAAAACCGTCGAAGTCCAGCCCTCAGGCGGGGCGCCTGCTTCAGATCCCGGAGATGGTGCCTTTCCGGCTGACGCGCGACATCGTCGCAGGCTGTTGGACTTCTCTTCGGAGAATCCTGGTTTGGGGTTGGGCAATTCGGGGTTCAGGGTGACTCCTGCTGTTGCTTCGACGGTGGTGTCAGCGTTGCGTCTAACCTGAGATCTTATCAGGGTTTAGGCAGCTAGTCACGCAGCTTGTTTGAAGAGCTTTCGGTGTAAGACTGTCAGAGTGCGTGGCAACCAACGGCTTAGAGTTTAGCTTGGGCTAGGTAGTGCGCTTGTCAAAGAGGGTAAACATGAACAGCTTCAGTCGAGGCATGGATCCAGCAAGCCTCATGCAAAAGGGCTGTGAGTGTTTATTATTTAGCTTTGGGTTTTCGCGTGCCTGCCTGCGCAGACTAGTGTGGAAGCGGGACTATGAGGGTGGCGAAGAAGTCATGAAGATGGGAGTGACGGAGACAAGATATTGATGCACGAACTGAAGAATATTACGCAAACAGCTGGCAATGAACGTGAACGTGATGGTCATTGTCGAGGTACCAGCTGTAGCAATGAAATGGCGAATCAATGACGAGATGTGCTTTCAGGTTTCAGTTTTAGGAATTGGCTCTAGGGTTCACGGTGCTCGGTACCCCTCAGCCCAAGCGAGCACCACTTACAGAGTCTCGATCAAGCCCACCTTCCTCTGCGCTGCAAACGCTAAACTCCAGGTCTTGGATGCTTGGGCAGCAGCGGCCTATTCCGTCGATGCTGCGAGTTAACCATGGAGGTGCAGCAGGATGCTACAGCTGAGACCCTCGTGATCCTAAGCTAACGTCTCGGGCTAGCCCATCCCGAAATTCCTTAACTTTATCTTCGAAGCCCACGGGACTCTTGAGACTCGGCTTTGCTAGGTGCTCCGCGGGAGTTCCACACTTGTCATTGCCGCAGCCCAGCAGCAAATCAGCGTTGGCGGTTGCAGTAAGGCTGCGAACCCGCACCTGGATTGGTTTCTTACTTGCAGTCTTAAGTGTAATTGTAGCAGTGGTGGTGGTGGTGGTGGTTTTCGATGCTCTGACGCCCTGTGTGCGAACGCCTGATCCAGCTCTTCCGAAGTCAAAATCTCTTCCAAGGTTACCGAAGTCTTTGTGCACGACCCCCTCTACAAATGGTCGCTCACGCCAAGCCGATCGCATTTGAGCGAGGAGCAGAATGCAACCTCAGGCTGGCCCGGGGTTGAGGCCTTAAGCCTGTTGAGGGGCTCAGCAGGGCTAAGGATTCAGGGCTTGTTTTTGTTGGCGGAATTCGGGTTTAGGTTGGCCTAAACCCTCAACTCTACGCTGTGGGACTAGTTAGTTTTGCTTCGTACCCGGCGATAAAGAGTGCCGTCCTTGTAGCATTGTAGAGATAAAGCAAGCCGCCTAAAGACTTAAATCTCTTGTTCTGAACTCCATGTTCAGAATATGAAAACTCAGTACTCGATGGACCGTGGTCTTCCGGACTATGCTTGTCGTCGTATACATGTGAAAGACCAGTGGCAATGAGGGGTCGCCTTCAAATTCGCAGGTTTTCGCCAAGAACCCTTATCATTCCATGTGTGGAAGTGCTCACACCTCAAGCGATCTGCTCTGTCTGAAGGCCCTCGAACGATGCTCTCTGTGCCTGAGTCAAAAATGTATGGGGGGATCTTGGGACTTGGGCTTTTTGCTGCGCGGAGGGGAGTTACCTTGGGACCTTAGGGCCATGAAGCAAGAGTAAGCCTACTGTGACGGCAACGATTGCTGCCGATATTGTTCTTCCCAGGACGTGCAGGGCAATGAAATGGCCAAGAGAGCCTTGGTGAACGTGAAGGCTCGGTTTGGAGGAGATTTTGTGTTGGTGCTTGCGGCTTGGAAGTTCAGGGGGTGTATAGTTTAGGTTTATCTTTCTCAGTCGCAACTCAACTCAGAGGCTTGAGTCGTGGTATCAGGGAGATGCAGGGTTTAGAGCTGCGGACCTTTTCGGTCGAAATCCCCAAGACTTGATCTAAAGGAAAAAACCCTAGGCCCTAAGCCCTAACCGTTCACCCCTCGGGAGACCAGGCGAAGTTGCTGGGCGAGGCTCAAGGCTTCGCCTCCCTAAGCGTCCCGGCGCACGTGGGCAGGGCACCTCGGCTCCAGGACGGGTTGAGGATTTAGGGTGATGGTGGTCTGGGCTGGGGCTGTAGGGACCCTATGACATGCTGTACCGGCCCTGACAACAAAGCTCCCACCTAGCACCACTGCGGCAGCCTCTAACTAGCCAGCTTAGTATTGTCCACTGTCCATTGTCTTGTGTTGTGGTATTCATTGATGCCGGAGTCCGCTTCCATATTATGCTGCACATGAAAGCTTTGGTTCAGAGTTTGCGCGGCACTTGTGGCAACGGATTTTCACGTTTACGCAAACGTTGGACTGCCCGGCTTCTGTTTGGAGTCGGCGGTAACGTGTCGGCCAGGTGATCCACGAGGCCACAGACACGAACAACCTGTGCAAAATGTTCTACGGATGGAGCCCATGGCTTTGACCGTAAGTAACTTGGCTGCACGACTTAAGACGAGAAGATGATTCGTTTGAAGATTTTGTACGGAGGATGGGCGAGGGTACCGTTTGCAGTTTAGGATTGAGGCTTTAGGGTTTTGGCGGCTAGCTGCCGGGCAGAAGTTGTTTGGAATGTCTGAAATGTTATTCTGCTTTCAGATCGTGCTGTGCACGGCAGGGCAGGGTGGGGTACTGTAGGGTGCGAGGTTCCGCCTTACATAGGTTCGTGCTTAGATTCGGCCTCAAGATGACGGTGGTGGTGGTGGTGGTGGTGGTGGTGGTGGTGGTGGTGGTGGTGGTAGCCGTGGTCGTCGTCGTAGTACTAGGAGTAAGAGTAGGAGTACGAGTGAAGCCTGCTACTAACCATTACAGCCTGCATGACGAACCGAACTGCAAAGTACACACTACCATTCGCTTCGTACCGTTTGCTTCGGTCGGAAACAAGTGCAAACAAGCAACCCCGCAAGCCGCTAAACGCAGGCTCAACCCCGCAATGTTTTGCACCAGAGTAAGGCTTACAATCTTAAAATGTTAGGGTAGGGTGAGGGTAGGGGTTGAAGAAGTTTAGTTGAACGAGCTCCGTCCCGCTGGGGAAAGGAAAGCTTTTCAGCTCACAATCAAACAGTCAGAAAAATTGAAATGATGCAACTAAGTCGTGCAACAGGACACAGCAACAAGAATCACTCAACCAGGAATGCTCTCAACTGCAAGTACAAGTTTGAGATAGTCAGCAGCAGCTCGGACTAACCATGGCCATTTCATATCCTAAGCCCATCGCGGGCCAAATGGCCCACCACTAGCAGTCGGAGTGCATGAATCTAGGCTCGAATCCTAATTGAGCACTCCGCCCCAGGATCCAGATGTCTCTGACCCGGGCGAGACGGCGATGTGGAAGGTCTGCCGGAAGCGTGATGTGGGCCAGCTGCGTCTTCTACTTGGTGATGCAGCGGATACTCATCCTTCTCCAAAATACATGTGTTTCGGGAAAGGTTTGTAACAAGCAAGGATCGACTTATCAAGGCCCTGCTGAAATAGCGCAGGAACATTGGACGATGCTGATGAAGATGATGACGATGACATACGATGACAATGACGAGAATGATGGCATGATGAGGGCGATGTCGTTGCCTTCACGCCAAGGTGAAGAAGAATAACATGAGTGGTTGTATGTTAGCGTGGTGCACCAGGCTTCTGGTTGATGACCATAAAAGGGACGAGAAGTCCGCCCAACCGGCCTTGCGTACCGTTTGTAAGGACCAGGACTCGGCGACGCCCTTGTTCGTGGCGGCACACAAGCGCACCTCGAAGTCGTCCAGCTGCTTTGCCTGCACTGCCCCAGCAAGGAGGCGCATCTTGACAAGGCGCCGAAGGCGGCCCCGTCTTGGGGATCCGAGCCTCGCTCACAAAGTTTGCAGCTGGGTGCTCAAAAGCGCAGCCTGCTCTGCTCATCCGGGTCATGGTGGTTGAAACATGTTGAAACTTTGCAGTTCCAACCCTTCAGCGCCGTAGCCCCGAACCCAACATGGGGACGGCTCAATACCCGCCCCGCCCTGAGTTGTGGCTTCATCTCCTTTTTCAAGCCACCTTGCCGGGAGAGTACAAGCCCTGAGCTTCCTAAACCCTTCTAAGACCCTTACCCGGCCATTGACAATGAATAATGCGATGAGCCCCACAAGCGCATGTGTGCACCTGAACTGCGCCATGCGAGGCCGCAGCTCCTCGCGCGTGGGCCGCTGAGTCCCATAGAGCGCTTGAGAGGCCTCATAAAAGCCTCGTCTGTAGAGTCTGCCGTAGTGCCCCTCTAAAACCCTTTAATGTGGAAACTTGCGGTACGTTGTATAGTAGGTTTAAAGTAACCACTATAAGCGAGTCTCATGGGTTTTGGTTTGGCGCTTTCGGTATAGGCTGGATGGTTTGGCGTTCGGGATTTAGGGAGAGAGATTTTGGGCGCAGATGCACATGGTTTCAAGAAGTGAGAACATCGAGATGAAGACGAACTGCGAGCATATCGATCCACATCTAGCCGTCCAGATGCCTTGTGGGACGTTGACACAACTCTGTACCCTGAGTCGAAACACGTATCTCTTCTAATGATGTTCCCGTGCGTCGTTGGTAAAGAGACTGCACACTCAACAAGATCAAAACCCATCGTGCTTTGCGACGTCTCACCCCCTATCTGAAAATACCCAAGCTGGGACCACAGGGCATTGCAAGTTTTGCCTGCGGATTTAAGTCATTTTCGGAAGCGGGGTCGGGAACTTGCAGTGTCTGGGGTTGTGCGAGTTGTAATTAGACTTGAAAGCAAAGCTTAGCAAGGTTGACTTTCGCATGTGGGACTGCTACATCTCCAATCCTCGAAGTATGGGTGTCTTCAGGTAAGACACAACGTCCGAAATGGTTTGAGACTGAGATAGAGACAGCGAACAGGCGAGACCGTTACCCTGTGCACTCGGCAAGGATCAGCCGGTGGATGCTTTGGCATGGCGGTATTTGGTCCAGTATGTCTTCAGCCTGTGGGTTCATAGTTCGGTGAACGTGTCATCATCACCGCATGTTTCGAGTCAGGTTTGCGGTTCAGGCAGAGGACAAAGCATCCGCCACGCAGACGAGCCATCACACTTCGGACTCCCTAAGGCCTTGGCCAAAGGCCCCGCCTTACGAGAAAGTGCCCCGAAAAAGCCCATAATATAGCCGTGACAAGAGCGTTCGTGTCTATGTTAGTACGAGCATCGTCACCATGCGCACGGCAAGCATGTTGGAGACAACACTTGCTCTGCTACCACTTGCCGCACCTGGAAACTCGTCACAACCCAAGGAAATGGAGGTTGTGAGTAGAATCGAGTAGAAGCCACCAACGGAGCTGTTACTGCTAGCTTTAGATATTATATGATATTATCGTTCTCAGTATTTACTGCGCGGATGTTTTGCTTTGCATGTGCAAGTTAACATGACAGTCGTCCCTCACCGGTGCTTCTATTGTTGGTTGTACTGCTGTTGTGTTGTGGTTTAGCTTCAACTAGTACCTCCCTCATCAGGTACTAAGCTGCATCCGTGAAATTATTTGATTCTGAAACATGATTACATGCAGGCCACCACATTTCACTTCACTTCAGGCGTAGCGCGGTACCAAGTCTGGAACGGCTAATATGCAAGACCCATGGGCACTCTGCCACGCGGTCAACACAGCAAATGGTCAAAAGGAGGCACCACAGGCAGGCGGAACGCAAAGTTCACGCACTGTCCTCTGCAGCTGTTACACCATGGAGGCTCGAAGAGACAACGCAGGGAGGGTCACGCCCGAGGGCTCAATAGCACACAGCTGTACAGTACTTGGAGCCCACCGGGAGCACAAAGTGGAAGTATGGGCAGCGACAAAAGCAATGCCGGCATCCGTCCGTACGTCGTGGAAGACAACCTCCGGCAGCAACCCACGCCATATTACGACCCCAAGCCTGCTCGGTCGCCCCAGATCACATCACTCCACATTAAGCAAAGCAGCGGCAGATCTGCCTGAAGGTAACCGTGGCAGGCACCAGGTCAAGCAAACCCTATGGAGGACCTTTCGACGAACCAGTCGTTGCGTATGCTGCACGAAGTGGAGCAAAAGCACACCCGGGTGTGCGCCCACGGGTTTCCTTGATGCAGCGCAAGCCAAATTCCCCAGAAGTGGCCGGCTACTGCCAGACTCTGCGCACTGGCGAAGACCCTCCCAGTGTGGAGATGGTGTGAAGGTCATCTTCTGCTACAATTGATGGAGAAACAGGTGTTCCAAGATCTTTGAGACCCTCGATGACGAGGCGCGTGTGTGTAATGGCTGGCATTCCCCCCTCACACGGCGGCTGATGGGCTGGACCACGGAGGAATGCGCGGCAGCTGATTGTGGCCACTCCCGTATGGCTCGGGTTCTCGTAAAGCGAAGAAGCTCCTCTGCAAGCTATGGGGGTACAGTCTCGACCCTGCAAGGAGGTCAGCCGCTGATCCGGGGTGGCATTAATCGGCCCTGGTAACGGCACGGCGGGAGGTCGCGATAGGTGCGTCGGCCAGTGCGCTTAGTGCCAGTCCCGTATTCGTAGGCCTCTTCGACCAGAACACGTAGCTCTGGTAGCCACCACTCCTTGTAGGGCGGCCAAAGGTCCGTCACCCGCACTGTAGAAGCTTCGGCTTGTGCATCCGGGATGAGCGGCAGTGCGACATTTTGCTCTGGGTCGGAGGAGAGCTCGCCAATCACGTCTACTCCGTGCTCGAGGACGAATCGCATAAGATGCAGCCACGCCAAAAACCAAACTTGAGAGAGCGGCGGCGGCGGCACCTCCGGTAATAGCTCTGTCTCCTGCGCTGACACCCGAAGTCCAACTTGGAGACAGGTGATTCGTCTTCCTTGCCGCCCTTGCCAGGCTGCTGTTTGCCACCCTGTGGGCCTTTCGGAGGCATGCTTCCGGGGTGGCGGTGTAGTAACGCGAGATCTTCTGGTCGGCGCTTCCCGGCACTGTAGTCTCGCCTTCCTTCTGGCAGCGCGTTGACGGCGATGCCAGGGCGGGCTCCGGGGGGGTAAACAAGTGGCCTCCTCGTTGCCCCAAGTTTGCACGGCGATGCCTGCTCAAAACGAGATATGAGCACAACGCAAACTGCTCGTTGTCTCATAAAAGCTCAGTGCCCACCGACGGCCATTAAAACGGCAGCGTAGACCGAGTACCAAGGTCGGAGGAGCGCTTTTCTGAACAGCTACAGCACCTGCGCTACAGGCCACGCACGTCGGCGCTGGGGTTAGGAAAACCCACATTGCACGGAAGCACCTACCTGGCGAAATCCGGGCAGATGCAGGCTCGAGCCAGAACACCTCAGGCCACAACACAATGATCCGGAAATCCTGGCGAGGCGAGTTCTTGATGATCGCCACACCATAATCAAAATGGATGTGGAAGGAGCAGACTGCAGCTCCTTGCAACGCTTCGTCACTGGAGAAACGGAGGAATGCGCGTCAATATAATCGGAGTTGTCCGCAGTCTTTCGCTTCGATTCTGGACGCGCTAAAGCGGGGTCAAAAAATAGGGCTGGTAGGAGCTGCCGTCAGCAGCTTCAGTCTGCGTGCAGTTGGATAGGTTTGGCGACTGCGCCCGAGGTCGAAAGGGATGGACTTGGGTGTTTGAAGCTAATCGCTTCCCACTATTATTCAGGACCAGCTGCCTAGTATTACTCTAGTGTGTCTAGTAATGTCTAGTATTATTATATGATTCTGGGCAAACAACATCTCTAGGCCTTAAAGCTTAAAATTTAAACCTCAAGCTCTATACTTAGTAAGCCTTAAACCAAACGCCCTAGGTCGGGAGGGAGGCAGGCTATTTCATTGATGATATAATTATAATTAAAAGTAACACCCCCCCCTAACATAAAATACGCTTGAGCCCTCTGAACCTTTCGCCCCAAACCCTGCATGAGCCTTAAGCCTTCAGCCCTAAAGCCTCAACCATTTGACCTATAAGCCTTCAGCCATCCGCCCAAGCAACCGCAACGCCCAGACCCTAAGCCCGATTCCTTGCAACCGAATCCACGTGTTGTTACAAGCAGCCTTGCAAGCCCAAGTTGCGGAAGGGTGGCGTGGGGCCTTAGCGCAGTCTTGACGCTTCTACTGTGGTCACATCTTGCGTGGTCTGAACCCACATTCCAACGCTGACTATGGTTTGCTCTGAAGCAGGGCTCATATGTGACATGCTTCTTGTGTTTCGTCGGCCTCCGTGGTTTCGCGGAAATACATTAAATGACCTTTGCTGCTCAGCTGTTGCTTCTACGTGGAGATGGGCAAGAAGTGCTGAATCTATGCGCATCGTTGCCCCGCAGCTTCAGCTGAGCACTGGTAGGCTGTCTACCATGTCACGACATGAGCTCAATCGAAGAGACAAGCAGCCAGAATGCAATGGCGCTTGCCCACGCCAAGAACAGCAGCCAGCACCTTATGTTTATGCGCACACGACGCAAATTCTGTCCTAAAGTTTTTGCCGTTTTTGCAGATCGATGGCCCGAGCCTCAGCAGACTCAACCTTTCAAGGGTTTGGGATTCAGGAAAAAACAATCCTGTTGGGAGGCACTTCAGACAGACTTCATTCAAAAGGACTGCGTCTGTACACATGTCCTTGGGAAGCCAATGACAAAACAAGCAGAATGAGCCGTCGGCAGATCAAAGCTTCGCCCCAAGCTGTGAACGCCGCGGCCACAACCCGAAAACCAAAGTGCTGCGGCTCAAGTTATGATGCTCAAGGCTTCGGGCGGGTCCCCCCCCACGCGCGCGCGCGCGCCTTAAACCCTCAACGAAGAGTGACATCGCAAGACATTGCTCATTCCTTGTCGGAATTCTCTGAAACAGAGCCTCGTGTTTACAATCAGGAGCTCGGAACCCTGCTACTCTCAACCCGTAAGATACCAGAAAACCGAACTGCAGAAACTTGAAAACTCGATCCAAAAGCCCATTGAGCCGTCAACAACGCTGAATCCAATGCTTTCTTCCGCTTTTTGGTGGATCTTCAGCTGAATATCCTCACTTGGCTGGTGACAGGCGTTGCAGGTGGTTTTGGGTAGGTTGAATCTTGATGTTCAACCAATAGGAATGTAAAGTCGAGGGCGATTGGGGACCCGAGGCTTAGTGCCGTAGTCGGTACCGAAGATTCCGGGGCAGGCATGGCCAGGGCATCGAAGAACGACTAGATTGGAAATTTTTCTGACGTGCGGCTGCTGTTGCTGCTCAAGCGGCGAGCCAGTTGATTCAAAGGTGGATGACAGTGATGGAGGAGAAGAAGACAATGATGTTGACGTGATGCTGCTGGTCATGATGGAAATGGTGGTGATGATGGGGAGGATGAGGAATGTTGCTGCTGCTGCTGGTTCTGGTGCCGGTGCTGCTGCTTGTGGTGGTGGTTCGGTGGCTATGACGAATCAAGGTGATGGCAGCTGTTTTGATGATGTTTCTAGTAAAGTTTCTGGCGATGTTCAGACAGGCTATACTAGATGTACTGGCCTTCCTACAAATCACCGTTGCAATCTCTCAGCTCGGACCCCGAGCCCCTCAACCCTCAGTCTCACTTCCCCAAGAGCTCAGTTGTCCTCGACCGGCGCGCTTCGCACCGCGCTGTTGGCTGAACACGTGGTCGGGAAGCCAGCGGATGCCTTGGTGATCAAACTTTATTGCTCCAGCAGCCTAAATTCAGAATGTGGCACCCACTACGAGGCTTCATGATGGCTTCATGTAGGATGGCGTAGGTCACAAGAGAAACACAGCAAGGCCCCAAAAGATTCAAACATGTGTTACATGACATGTTGGCATCACGAAATCTCAAAAAGTAGCTCCTGATGCTCGGCTTTAGCTGTTGTAGGTTGGCCACTGTTGCTACTAACGCATTCAGAAGTTGAAGAAACTGTAGTGGTGGTGGGGGTGGTAGTAGTAGTAGTAGCAGCAGTAGTAGTAGTAGTAGCAGCAGCAGTAGTAGTAGTAGTAGAAGCAGCAAGCAGCAGCAGCAGCAGCAGCTACTAGTAGTAGAGCAGGAGTAGGAGCAGGAGCAGGAGAGCGTGAGTCGGAGCAGGAGGACGAGGAGGAGTAGGAGCGGAGTGGGAGTAGGAGTAGAGTGGGACCGAGGAGGACGGAGTCGTAGTGGGCAGCACTAGCAGCCGCAGCAGCAGCAGCAGCAGGAGGAGGAGGAGTCGTAGTAGTAGTACTACTACTACTACTACTACTGCTACTGCTACTACTGCTGCTACTACTACCACTACTTCT